CCGGACCCCGAACCCGCGCCTCGGGCGGCCTCGTGGGTGAAAAACGCGGATTTTTGTGTAAAAAACCCAAATTTTTGAAAGAAAAACTCAGATTTTCGCGTGAAAAACGCGGATTTTTTGCATTTTCATCCGGATTTTTTGCACTTTTTGGCCCTGGGTCCGAGTCCCGACTCCCCGACCCCCCGGGACCCCGTTACCTGCACTTCCGTCAGCTCCAGGGAGCGGCTTGGTGGGTGCAAAACCCAGATTTTTGTGTAAAAAACGCCAAATTTTGCGCGAAAAACGCAGATTTTCGTGTGAAATATCCGGATTTTTTGCACTTTTATGCAGATTTTTTGTGGATTCCGCCACGGACCGCGACCCCGGGTCCGAGCCCCGACTCCCCAACCCCCTTGGCACCCTCACCTGCGTCTCCGTCGGCCTCAGCGAGCGGCTTTGTGGGTTCAAAACCCAGATTTTTACGTTCAAAACTTGGATTTTCGCGTGAAAAACGCGAATTTTTGCTTGAAAAACGCGGATTTTTTGCACTTTTACCCGGATTTTTCACAATTTTGGCCCCGGGTCCGAGCCCCGCACCCCCGACCCCCCCCCCGACCCCCCCCTTACCTGCATCCGCGCCTCAGGCAGCCCCAGCGCGCAACTTCATGGGTGCAAAACCCCACATTTTTGTGTAAAAAACCCAAAATTTTGCGTGAAAAACCCGGATTTTTTGCACATTTTTGCGGATTTTTCGCGGATTTCACCCCGGCCCCCGGTCCCGGGTCCGAGCCCCGACTCCCCAACCCCCCACAACCCCCCGGGGCGCCCTCACCTGCACTTCCGTCGGCCCCAGTGAGCGGCTTGGTGGCTACAAAACCCAGATTTTTGTGCAAAAACCCAATTTTTTGCTTGAAAAACGCGGATTTTTTGCACTTTTACCCGGATTTTTCACAATTTTGGCCCCGGGTCCGAGCCCCGCACCCCCCGTACTCCCCTGGGCCCCCGGTACATTGCATCCGCGCCTCGGGCAGCCCCAGCGCGCGGCTTCACGGGTGCAAAACCCCAGATTTTTGTGTAAAAAACCCAAATTTTTGCATAAAAAACCCGGATTTTCCCCTGAAAACTCCGGATTTTTTGCACTTTTATCCGGATTTTTTGCGGATTTGACCCCGGATCCCGACTCCGGGTCCAAGCCCCGCACTCCACAAGCCCCCGGTACCTGCACCCGCGCCTCCGTCGGTTCCAGCGCAAGCCTCGTGGGTGCAGAACCCAGATTTTTGCTTGAAAAACCCGGATTTTCGCGTGAAAAACCCGGATTTTTTGCACACTTACCCGGATTTTTTGCACTTTTCTCCGGATTTTTCCGGATTTTTTGCACTTTTTGGCCCCGGGTCCGAGTCCTC